ATCAATTTCTTTTTTCCGCAGAAGAAAGATCCCTCTAAGAACTAATCCCGTAACCTTGGATTAAACGAAAAATCATATGATTAAAACTGCAGGAATGTTGATAAAAGTGGCATGTTTCTCAAATATAAGAAGTTTCACTATGGAGGAGGACGGTAAACTTGGCAACAGTTGCACCTTTTCAGGATGAGTTTGACTATAAGCAAGAGCCAACGTACTACCCCAGGAACCTCCAAAGACCTACACAACCACATATATTACTGAGTCTTACACTCAATAAAAAACATTGTTGAATACACTGACATGATTACAGAACCTTCAAAACAGGAACTGTGATTACGGTATCCAGAAGTGTGGAAAAACAAGGAGTAGTTCAAGAAATTGTGACCTGCCACTCTGGAATTTTCAGGTGTTCCCTTAGCTTCTCAATGTCAGCAATGAGGTCCCACGTGGTATTATTCTCCAAGCAAGCATGTGGGGTACTTTTCCCTGCACCTCGCTGCAAGAAATGAGACATTTTTCTAACTTTGGAGATAGACAATCCTAATAATACACAGTAAAGATTGAGAACAAAACCTGATCAAACAAAATAATTCTATAAAAATCTGGGTCAAAGAATCTTCTATTGCCTGGAGCAGTTCCTCCCCCTGGTCCCCCATGTAGAAAGACCACTGGCTGCAAGATCAGTTAAATAAGATAATTATTAATATGAATCTGAAGTGAACATATTCAACAATTTACTATCTCTGATAAGGCCACGCAAAAAGAACATAAGATGGTTAGTTTTAGATCAATGATATCTGTAAAACGTGCACTTAACAGTGTATCACTGCAAGAACATGTCCATTTTTATAGAATCCTAAACTATGCAGCAAGCTGCATCCGTCACGTTTATCATTTTTCATTGTTACTTGCAGCTTGCACTGGATGAAATGCATTCAGATATATATTTCCAACCAAAGGTAATAAAAATTTGTTCAACTTGTTTGCACAACAGTCTCAACAACCAAGTAACATTAGTAACTACCTCGAGTGTATATTACCATAAATGAGGGATGGTTGTATTAGAATGGATTTACTGGAGACAAATATTTTTTTCCTAATCAAGAGTTCATTATAATATATTGGCAGAAATCTCAGAAGAAAAATATGAAACTAATAGAAAATTATTTTCTGAACTTACATGACCGGCAGGATTCCCAGATTGCTCCCAGTAAATAGTATGAAGATCCGACACTTTCAAAAGACCAGTACTGTATGGCTCAATAGGAGGATAAGGGGTTTTGTTTGTTCCTGGAATTTCCTTTTCTCCAGCCATCAAGTCCTTTCGTTGGAAATCACTCTGACTATCGCTCTTATAGCCGAACTGCGCTGCTAACACCAAACCTTTTCCCCCTGCAACATCAACATACAACCATGTGAATTTCTGAACCACGTATCTCTCCCACTCCATTTTACTGGATAAAATAACTCAAGAAAAGATAATTCAGAATCCAAAAGAAGAGTTGCAAATACATTGCCAATTCACTTGAAAACAATAAATAAAATTCAGATGATCAAACCATAACTCTCAAGAAATACATTTCAGTCTATCTGATTCGAATATGTTTCTTCATGCGCATCTTGCAATTTCAATTCCAACAGTCAGATAGTTTTTCCCTATCAGAAACTCCACAAACAAATCAATAAAAAAAAATTACTACATACAATTAGGCAGTTTGATAACAATTCCGTTTTTAATTTTTTGTTTACGAAATTTATGCTTGTTCTTTCCAATTTTTCAATTGTAGTTTTCACCTCCTTATTCAAATTCTAAAAAAAAAAAAAATCATTTGAAAATTATATATCTTTAAATTTTTCAAAATTTAACTTATTTTTTAGAACTAAAAGTGGATAATAAAAAAAAATAGAAATTATGGATAAAATTAATGTTTGGAAGCTTAATTTTCAAACACAAAAAAATAAAAAATTAAATGATTATAAAACAGGTTTTAGTATTTAGTTCCAAGCAATACTTACGGAAATGAACGTCTGAGGTAAAAATGAAACTAACAACTCCTCCCTTCAGTCAACTGGTAAATTCGATGATTACAAAGAAAGAGATAAACCAGAGTTTACAATGAACATTAAAGATTCTAAAATCAGTATTTCAAACCGATGCCATGGTTTTTCCATTAACATTCTGGAAAACAAACTAGTACAGAAAGAAAGCCAAGTTGCCAAATCAAGTGCAAGATGTTACAGTTATAGACTAGCTAAATATGAGATGAAAAACGATTAAAGAATGAGAGGAGACGCTGAGAAAGCGACAATCGAAACCAGTAACAGAGATACAATGGTGGAGAAGAAAACCTGATACGCAGAAACGGTTGTAAACACGAGAGACGGGGAAGAGGCGAGGACAGTGACGATAATGCGAATTGGAGATGAAGGAGAGCAGAGGAGCAGCAAAGGAATTGTTAGGGCAAAGGCCTAACAACCTCATCGTCAATGGTGAAGACCATTAGCATGAGCTCCAACCAGTTAGACAGTAAAAGACAATTAATTATTAATATTCGATTCCCATTTACAGCTTGCTCTATTTTCATCATTATTATCTTTTATATATATATCTATATATATATAGAAATATAAATAATTTTGATAATAAAATTTAGAATTTATCTATATTGACAGTTCATTGTTTTTTTTTTTTTAATATTATGTATTTTATTGCACAAAATATATTATAATTAATTATATAAATAATGGTTAGGAAAAAGTAAGAAAATAAATGGCGTCGCCCGGATTCGAACCGGAGACCTTCAGTGTGTTAGACTGACGTGATAACCAACTACACCACGACACCATTTTGTTTATTGGAAGAATTTAAAATATAAATATTATATAAATAGTTAATTTTATGGAACGTGAAGTTCCTAATCCTAGTCAGATGTTGCTGATGTCACTTAAACAATAGGTAGACACCCAATTAGTGATATTTAGAGATGTCAATCGTGTATCTATTCCCCATAGAAATACAAGTCATTTCACGACGACCTTGAAAAATATATTGATCGAAAAAAAACGATGTGCTTTTAGCCTTTTTACTAATTGTAAAAATGAAATAAGTGGATGATCGATTATTTTTAGGGGTACGAAGAGAACGAGCATATTCCAACCACGAATCATGATTTAACTATAGTTAAATGGTTAAATAAAGGCGGTTTATTTAATTATAAACCCACCATTACATGTTCTTATTACTCAAAGAAAAACAAATTAAACTAAGTCAATTACATGTACTTAGTACACATTTTGCAGCTAAAAAATGGAACAAGAAAGGCAATATACAAGTCATGAATCTGAATTATCAACATTACCAACCCCAAAAGTTACCATATTCAAATGCCTCTGAAACACTAAGTTTCGTTTCAGACGAACGGTCACCGCCACTGCCACTGCCGATCGTCTGAATTTCGCCTTTGACTTTGCCAAAGCCACCTGAAAGTGCTTCGAGCAGTCTCCAGGCTGAGAATTGCACGGCGGAGGAAGTTGAGGACGGTGGGTGGCCGGAGATGGGCTGAGAAGAATCGTGGGTATGGCTATGGTGGTGAGAGAGCGTGAGCATTGCTGCAGTGGGCGCCATTGATGAGCTTTGGTTGTGGCTTGGAATTGGGAGACTCTGTTTTGTACGTATGAAACGGAGGGGGAATCAGGGGCCAAGGGGGGATTGAAAACCGGCAAATTTAGTGTATCCTGTGGGCAGCTGGTTCGGCCAAACACGGCAATCCATTTGGAAAAAAGTTTACAACGTGGTTTTTGACATACTTATCCGTTGGGGGATTCCCACATGCTTTGTCACAACATTTAATAAAAAAATAAAAAAATTAATCCCATTCGCGTTCACACTTGCTTACAAATTTGAATGCGTGGACTCGAGTCCATAGTCGTGATGAGTGGATAATGTTTCCCTTAAGGTTTTTAAAATGTGTCTATTAAAAAAAGATTTTTAACACCTCTCATGGTTTTTAAATTGTGTCCGAGAGATTTTCACATCCTTTAAAGAATGTTTAGTCCCCTCTCCAACCACTCCAACTAATGTGGGATCTCACAATCTCCAACGGATTTTCACATCCTTATAATGAATGTTTAGTTCCCCTCTCCAACCACTCCAACTAATGTGGGATCTCACAATCTCCAACTGATTTTCACATCCTTATAATGAATGTTTAGTTCCCCTCTCCAACCAATGTGGGATCTCACAATCACCAACGTCACAATCTACCTCCTTCGGAGCCCAGCGTCCTCACAATGTGGGATCTCACAATCACCAACGTCACAATCTACCTCCTTCGGAGCCCAGCGTCCTCACAATGTGGGATCTCACAATCACCAACATCACAATCTACCTCCTTCGGAGCCCAGCGTCCTCACTGACACATTGTGCTTAGTGTATGAGATCTCACATCAGTTGCAAGAGGGGAGCGAAATTTTTTTTACAAGGGTATGGAAACTTCTAGCAGTGTGCTAGTGAAGACATGGACTCTCAAGGGGTGAATCATGAGGTCCCTCATGGATGGAGAGAATAACATTATATGATGGTCAAAGTGGTGGATTGTAAGATCCCACGTGGAAGGAGAGAATAACATTACATGATGGTCAAAGTAGTGGATTGTGAGATCCCACATTGATAGAGAGAATAACATTACATGATGATGAAAGTGAACAATGTCAACTAAGGATAAGTTTAGGTTGTTACATATAATAATAATAACAAAAATAAACGCTATAAATTTTGACACATTCTTTAGTGAGAACATCTAAAAGGAATTAATCATCATATATCTTATAACTTTCTATATATTTGAAGAAAACATTAAGGAACGTGTTATAGAGAAGGAAATTTGTCTCGTAAAGTCTACTAAAGTATCGATCAATTGAATAATTTTCCTTTTCTTTTGGAGAAACTCTCTATTAAATAAAATATTTGTTCTTAGTCGTATAATCGAATTTCGGCCCACTAACATGTAAATTAGGGTTTGATAGATTCGATTACTTCGAAGAAATTTCAACTTTTTTGGCAAGAAGAAATCAAAAGGTTCTACAGAATTTGAGGGTCGAAATCCATGGTAAAAAATAAATGCAGAGAACAGCTTACATTGGACGCGGGAATTGAAGATCCAAATGCAAAGTTCGTCACAATCCAATCGATTTCTTCAACGAAGAAATCAACGACGAAGCAGAAGAAATTGCAGGTGAATTTTCTCCATTAATAACGTATTCTTCCACCATTTCCTTCACAGACCTAGGCGACAATGGTTGGAAATTGAACCCCCACTCGGACACAAACTCTTTAACTAATGTCAATTTCGCCTCCTCGTCCATCTTCTTCCAGCATCTCTTCGTCTCCTCCGATTTTAGCTCTAGAAATCCGCAGAGATCTGTGAACAAAATTTCTCTGCTCTTCGTCATCGCCTCCTCTCCCTGAATCAAATTGGTGTTGATTTTCGCTACTTCCATAGCGAGATCGGAGGCGAGATCCGCGTCGCTGAATTTCTTTCTGCAGTAGGTGATCTGGCATGGCAGTCGACTCCTAGAAAGGGCCGACGACGGCCAAGATTGAAATTGGAAATTGTGGATCTGGCCATGGACGCGAGGAAAACGAAGATTGATTGCGAATATCATTTGAAGAGAATTCTCTTCGTAGGTGCTTCAATCGAAAGATTTGCAGCAAAAAAGCGACGAGAATCGGGCTGGAGGGAGAGAGCGATTGAACCAAACTTCGAAAGTTCGCCAAGATTATCCCATTTACTTTAGCTCTTCACTTGTTCTTAATAAAATCTACTTTAAAAAAAATAAAATAAAATAAAATAAAAATCTCTCCTCTCCCAATTTTTTATTTTTTTTTTTTTAAATATCTCAATTTGACCTCAAATAAAAAAAACATATCCTTCTACTCACGAGGATCTGGTCGAATTGAGAGAAGTTGTAGGTATTATTGCGGGTCAATATATTGGAGAACCAAGTGTTCAACTAGGTATGACGGAATATTCACAATGGGGACTATAGAACAAATACGAGCTCCTTCTAATTGAAAAATCAAATTCAACGAGAATTTGGTTCATCCCACACGTACACATCATGGCCATCTTGCGTTTTTATGTTATATAGACTTGATCTATAACATAAATATAATGAACGGACCATAACTTGTTTTCATGTTGTATAACTTTATTAACCATATATTTGTGTATATGACCGTTCCATGTTTACTCCCATCAAACATGAATCGCCCTAAAATATAGTATAGGAGGCTAAGTAGTGATCGAATCTCTCTTCCTTAGATGTAGTTGACTTTTTCAATGATTTTCGTCGATTTTTACATGGACTTATTCATTAGGTTAGAACAAGTGTCGCACAATTTTATCTCGTTAACGAAAGAATGCAATTGTGATACCGTAGTGCTTACTCCTAAGGCTCGCCGGCCCATAAATTCTTACAACGGAACCGACTGAACCGTCGAAAAATAGATTGGGTTGGGTTGAGGTAAGGCACCTTAACCACCCCTCTATCATTGAAATTTTTTTGCATTTAATAAAGCTAAGAGAAGCATAGTAGTTAGTTACATGGCAGAGTAAAGCGAAGGACAGTCACGTGCGGAGGATGGTCCTGATCCAGAGTCCACACAGTTGGCGAATACGCCAATTCCCCAAAAGCCAATAAACAAATCTCGAACACAAAGGGCGCCCAAATTCGCCATCGCAGCGACATGACAATCAGTGGCATCGTCGCCTTTAATATTGATATTCGGATCATGTCACCCACTGGTCAAACCCAGACTCCATTTCTTTCAAAACCCGTCAAGTCTCTCCTCTTCCCCACCTCCATTTCGACCTCAATTCAGCCACCTCTTGCTGCTCGTTGCTCCTCCTCCTCCTCCGTCTCTCCTCTTGGTTAGCTTTCGTTTCCGTGATCCTAACCTGTTTGATTCTTGTTTTTGAATCTTTCTTTTTTGAGTTTTTGCTTACTGGATTCATTGAATCGTTGGGTTTTCATGGCGTACTGGCATTTATTATGGTCTATGATTTGTTTTTGCGTATTGTGTTGATTTTCTTCATTAAAGCGGTCACTCGGGTTGGATTAATGGTGATCACGTGTTGGGGTTTGATTTTGTGTTGCCGTGTTGTAATAGCTGTTGCAGTGATCAGACAAGGAAAATGGAATCAATCATTATGTTTGTGGTAGTGACGTCTACAGACTGTTTTTAGCTTTCTCAAATTGCATCATTCTCCAGTCAGGTTTCTCATAAAATTAGTTGTTCAGCTGAGTTAACATTTAAGAGGTTTGTCGTCAATCAGGTTAAACTCCCATTCATTGTATCCTTCCCCGAAATGGTGGTTAGTAAGATCCCACATCCGTCTGATAGGGGTTGGAGAAGGGAAGGAAACATTCCTTAGAAGAATAGGGGTTAGAGAAGGGAACAAAACATTCCTTATAAGTATGTGAAAACATCTCCCTGACGGAACTTAACTTTTGATTGTTTTTAATCTTTGGTTGGGTATGAGCTAGTATTGTTATTCTTTTGTAGATATGGACAACGGTGCAGGTCTCAGTTTGTATCCACTACATCGATGCAAAACAATTCACCTGGTCAGTATCAAATTTGAAAATTTCATGGTTTTATATGTAATGAGTATTGCAGATGTGAAGCAGGTTGTATTTGACTTGAAGGGCATTCAAGATGGCCTTCTTTCTTGGCTTTTGCTCGCAAATCAAGGGCTCTTATAAAACAATGCATCCAGGTCAGGCATGCGCAAGGAATCCACAATGTTGATGGAGATAAGAGCTATAAAGCATATATGCGTCCTGAATTTTTTGATGCCCACATTACTCAGCTTGGATGGCAGCAGGTCAGGACGGGAGTTGTAAAAATTTAAATTGTAAAGAAGATAAAAGTGGAGTTAATTGGGAGAAAATTACTGATATGATATCTTTCAACTGTCACAGATTGATAATTTGCGCAAGCATGTTCATGCATCTGGTCTTTCAAGGAAGATTGAATTGGTAGTAACATCCCCTTTGCTCAGGTATTAATGTCATTATCTGCAGTTAACACTCTTTTATGTACAATTTTATGTGTAAAACCTCCCCGTCATTTCTCGTTTCATGATGTTGACTCTCATTGTTGGCCTCACCAATATTTTAAAAAGAGGAGATCAATAAGGGTAGGAACATTAAACGATATCAAATTTGTTACAGCGAAGGCCATCGCTAGCGGATACTATCCTCTTTGTGCTTTCGTTTTCGGACTTTCCCTCAGAGTTTTTAAAACGCGTCTACTAAGGAGAGGATTCCACACCATTATAAAGGGTGTTTTGTTCTCCTCCCCAACCGATGTGGGATCTCTCAATTCATCCCCCTTCGAGGCTCAGCGTCCTCGTTGGCACTCGTTCCTTTCTCCAATCGATGTGGGACCTCCACCAAATCCACTCCCCTACGGGGCCCAGCGTCTTGCTGGCACACCGCCTCGTGTTTACCTCCTTCGGGACTTAGCCTCCTCGCTTCCACATCGGCTGATGTCTGGTTCTGATACCATTTGTAATGGTCAAGGTCCGCTTCTAGTAGATATTGTCTTCTTTGGGCTTTCCCTTTCAGACTTTCTCTCAAGGTTTTTAAAACGCATTTGCTAGGGAGAGGTTTCCACACCCTTATAAAGGATGTTCCATTCTCCTTCCCAACCGATGTGGGATCTCACGAAGTTCTTGTTTGTAACCAATATAGTAATCTTGGAAGAAATTTACCTTTTCATGGTTTGACAAGTTCAGTCACACACCCATACATACTTTCTTCTTGGGTAGTAAGAACCGTTGAATTCAACTGAGATAATTTGCCTTTGATGATGATTATGTGAGACATGCAATTCCCACGATTTACTTGACTACCAAGTCTCAGTAGTCCCTAATTTAAATCAATTTAACTCGGAGAGATTGGAGAATTTTTGGAATAAAAAGTTTTTAATTACTGAAGAAGAAGCTGAAAGAGCAAAAAGAGGAGAGATGAACGTGTTTGTTCCACTTCAAGTGCAAAGTAGATGCTTGAACGTTTTGAGTTCCTCAGAATACAGTTTCTTTCTTTTCAATGCTTATTTTAATTGTTACTTCATGTTTACTTTGCTGGGAAGTCGATAGTAACCCATATCTAAGGAATCATATACCAATATGCAAAATCTGAAGAATTTTTCTTATGGTTGATTATTTTCTAGGACTCTACAAACCGCTGTTGGAGTATTTGGTGGTGAAGGCTATACAACTGGAATGGACGTGCTGCCACTAATGATTGCAAATGCTGGCAATAGTGCACGAGCTGCAATTTCAAGTCTAAACTGCCCACCTATTGCTGCTGTTGAGCTTTGTCGTGAACATTTGGTATGTGTTAGATAAATTTGATTCTTCTCAGTTATGTTTATGTATGCTGCAACAGGTGGGTGTTAGATTGCTTCATGATTTAGAATGTAAATGACTTAAATCTGGGCTAGGGGTTAGTTAGCTTTACTGATACTTGCAGTCTTTTGTATGAGTCTGTTATTCAATGCTATCGATATTAGAAATCCGCTAATGCACCTCATATGCAAGTATGTCGAGGAAAATTTTTATTTTCTTCCTATTTTTGCACGATGCAGTGTCAAGTATAAAGTTCGGGTCCCCCCAAGTGTTCATCGATTTCTAATTTATTATACCTTCGTTCTCCCCCTTTTTCTTCTGAGGGAGCTATTTAGCAGAGACTTATTGTTTTCGTTATGTATTATATTTGTAGTTCTTATATGTGTTCTATATCTAACAGGGAGTTCATCCTTGTGATAAGAGGAGAAACATCAGCGACTATCAATTCCTCTTTCCTGCAGTTGATTTTTCACTGGCAAGTACCTGGGATGTTACAATGAGCTGTGGGAAATTTGTTATTTATAATCTTTTTAGGAAGATTTTCATTCAAGAAAATGTAACAATGGTGGATGAGTTGTGTTGTTGATTTACACTCAAAAGTTCCATGCAGATAGAAAGTGACGAGGATGTATTGTGGAAGGCTGACATTAGAGAGACAAAGGAAGAGCTGGCAGCCAGAGGCTTGCAATTCCTGAACTGGTGAATATTCTGTTTATTAGACTTCCGTTTTTTTTACTCTGATTTCTTTAGGATGCCCTGCTGATATAAAAAAATGTGAGCACAGGGAAATGTTTGCGTACCGCTTGCATATCTCAAAGTCTATTTAAATGAAGGACACTCCAGAATTAAGCTATTGCAATGAAATGTTGTCAGCTATCTGTTTACCACGAGTCACCGTTACATGATGAGGTTTTCAGTGGTCTTAAATCTGAAGATGTTTAGTGTTTTAGTTGCAAAATCTTGACTCATTTGGAGGCCGGATTGAATAGCTTTTAGTGTGCAACCTACAGTTTTTCTATACCTAGCCGCACTCCACAGTTATCATCTTCATTGTTCCTGTTTATAAGCAACTAGGGACTTTTATGTACTTGAGATTGACTACAAAACCTCGAGTCCGAGGTCGGGCATGGACTTTATAATGGACAACAAAGCGTCCCCCGTTTATCCAGGATATTCCTCTGTTCATGCTGATTGATAACTGGAGTCTTCTTCTGTAACTGGTGTTGAGATTTTCTGTTCTGGTTTTAGCTTCTCTTGTTAGGCTTGTTTTTCTATCAATGAAAATATCATATGGATAGAATTTGGTTTTGTTTTTACTCCAAAGATAGATAAAGCACAATAGAACAAAACTATTCCACTGATATAACCTTGTTTGTTAATCTGGTATAGCTTTTTTGCTCCTTTCTTGCAGGTTGTGGACAAGGAAGGAGAAGGAGATAGCCGTTGTTACTCATAGTGGATTTTTGTTTCATACTCTAACTGCGTTTGGAAATGACTGTCACCCTTCGGTGAAAAAGGAAATATGCACACAGTTAGTGAACCCAATACACCTCTACTTCGAAACTATTCGATATATTTAGATTTCATCGACACTGACTTTTGCGTTAATCGTAACCTTTAGCGTATCGTGTTTGCTGCTCTCGTATTCTCATTAAGATGTCAGTCCTCTATCAGATGCCTTTGGCTTGGTTATGTTTAAACCAACAATAACAGATGCATGTTCTTTCTTGGTTATGTTTACATTCACTAATTTCATTTTCGGCTTGGTTACATTGGCGGGCTCTCGATTAGGGAACGTTTGAATGCATCGACTCTGCAATGATGTGTGCAATGTCTACTTGCAGATTTGCAAATTGCGAGCTTCGATCCATTGTCATAGTAGATAGAAGGTGAGTTTTGTTTACGAGCTTTTGTAGACTTGAAAGAAAATTCATCTTCCTGATCATCACGTTTCTCATGCTGCCAGTATGGTCGGGTCGGATTCCTCGACAACTAATTATCCTGGAAAGATACCTCCGGGGCTGGATATCCCTAGTGATGCTGTGGATGACAAAAGCATGAAGGAAGAGAAACAACCAGTCGATTCGGGACCGAAGGTACATGAAAATATGTAAGTCTTATACGGCTATAGATAGAGAGATATTCAACTGCTGAGTTTCATTTATACAAACAAGTATTTTTGAAACTGCCTTATCTAGACACAGCACAACACCTATATATTTACTTCGATTATCTGCATTTCAAGAATTTGTGCTTTGAGGATTTCTCCAGTTGAGCTACAAAGTCTACACTTAATATATGAATTTTCTTTTTCTTTTTTTCATTATGAGTTGGCCTGGAGTAGAATTTGTAACGGTTCAAGCCAAAACCCCGCTAGCAAATATTGTCCGGCCTTTTTTTTTTTGGACTTCTCCTCAAAGTTTTTAAAACGTGTCTGCTAGGGAGAGGTTTCCACACCCTTTATAAGGTGTTTTGTTCTCCTCCCTAACTAACGTGGAATATTATATGGTGTAAATATTTAATGATTTTTGGCTTTCACCCTTGGAAACTAGGATAAATCTCCTAGATTCTTGGTCATAGCTCAGGATTCATGCATCCACGCACACATGTTTCTTGGCAACTTTGGCTGTGGATTTTGGATTTTTATGGATAGCCACTTGGTGAGGTTGAATGCTAATCTATGAACCTCTATAAACTCAACTAGTTATCATATTTGTTCTCTGAGTATAAGATATGTAGTTTGAATCTCCACCCTCACACGTTATTGAGAACCGTTAGAGGTTGTAGTAGTTAGCCTAACTTCAGAAAGAGCAAAAAAAACAGAATATACCTTCATCCAAGTTGCCTGACCACTTAGACCCAGCATTAGAGAGAGGGAGAGTGTAACAGCCGAAGTCCACCGTTAGCAGATATTGTCATTTTTAGATTTTTCGGCTTCTCCTCAAGGTTTTAAACCCTTCCGAGCATCTCCTTAAGGTTATAAAATGCGTCTTTTAGGAAGAGGTTTTCGCACCTTATAAGGAATGTTAGCAGATATTGTCATTTTTAGATTTTTCGACTTCTCCTCAAGGTTTTAAACCTTTCTATGCATCTCCTTCAAGTTATAAAATGCGTCTTTTAGGAAGAGGTTTTCGCACCTTATAAGGAATGTTTTGTTTTCATCTCCAAAACGACGTGGGATCTCACAATTCATCCCTTTGGAGGCCCAACATCTCGTTGGCACAAGGATATGTCTTTTTAAATGATCTGTGAAGTACTTTCTATAACCTACCAATTATTATTGTTATTATTATTTTGGAAATATTCATCTATATAATTCTTTTCCTTATTATTTATTTATTTTTTTGGATGCTTCTCTTGAAAATTTTAAATACTTTGTTAAAGCTGTACTGAAATTATTCAATTTTGGTATATACTTAACACAAATAACTCCTCTCGAGAATATATTTAGTCATGGTATCTCCGCTTTTTTACTACAACAGTAAAAGCATTCTGTTGGACCGACACTAACACTGAGAGACAAAAGCTAGGGGAGTGAATGAGATTAGATGCTCTAGTAGTCCTAGTCGTAAACCTTGGAATGTAGGTGTTGTACATATCGACTCGTGCAATACTCTAGCTAACGCGTTAAGTATCTTGTCTTGGGAGTACATTCGCAATGGCGGGGGTTCGCACAAGCGGTAGAACATGTGGTTTAATTCGATGCAAAGCGAAGAACTTTACCCAGGCTTGACATGCCGCAAATCCTCTTGAAAGAGAGGGTTCTTTTGAGAACGTAGACGCTAGTGGTGCATGATTGTCGTCAGCTCGTGCTGCAAGGTGTTGGATTAAGTCTCGCAACGAGCGCAACCCACATAGTTGGTTGCTAACCGTAGAGGTTGAAACCCTGAGCAGACTACCGATAATGTCAAGGCTAGACTTAACAAGTCAACGAACAAATTATCAAGTCAACGAACAAAGAGTGGAAAAAACGATTTTACCTCTCAAATTTTCAAAAAGTGTCCTATAATTCCTTAATTTATGTTTTTTCTAATATTCCCATTGCTATATTTTAAAACATAATACTACTAAAATTGATATAAAAGGAATATATTGCTAATTTCAATCAATAAAATAGTGTTGTGATGGGGAGTTATTAGAATCTTCAATAAAATAACATTGACTCTCTTCTTTATTCAATTCAAAAGTCTATTTTAGTATTTTAATTAAAGTTTAAGGTAAGGAAAGAGGGAAAACATTAATTAAAACTTCACTATCCATTATTATTTAATGAGTTTAATTATTACATGCACCCTATTTAAAATACTATTATTAAAATAATAATATGAATTAAATTTTAAATGCATTGGATATCTGATTATTTTCCAAAATTTTAAATTGAAAATTGTATTTTTTTAAAAAATTACAATGAATTAATTAGTAAAAATAATGCAACAAAAAAATATTTATTACAAAGTAATTGTTTTTATTATTATTATTATTATTATTATTATTATTATTATTATATTATCCAAATTTGAAGAGATGGGAAGCGTGGGTAGGTGGGTGTAGAGAGGGAACATGTGGTGTTTAAATAGAAGAAGCGTCGGGTCAGTCCAGGTCAGGCTCAGTTTTTTTTTTTTTTTTTTTTTTTTTTTTTTTTTTTCTTTTTTTAGAAAAAAGAATTAGTAAGAGAATGAATTTACCAAAGTGCCCTTAATTGACCAAGGTGATATTTAAGGGAAAGGGGGAAAAGAGGGGTTCGTTCACACGTTTTCGCCGACCCCACAGCTGGGCCCACCTCTCACACACAGTGAAGAAAATCAGCCAATCGCCTTTCGGTCGACATCAGCAAGCTGTGGGGCCCACGAACTCATTTAAAAAAATAAAAAAAAACTGAGTGATTTATACGAAACCCTAAATGCACGACAAATTCGGCCCAAATTCACCCCAAACGCATATTCCCAAATCTCAGCCCGGTCCGACGATCCCTAAGCGTCCACGTGTATCTGAATTTCAATCCTGGCCGTCGATGCCAGGTCATTTGGTCAATTTATCGGCACGGGAGAGATAGTGTAGACCGTTGGATTTGCATGGAGAAGTACATCGACGGTCTCGATTCTGCCCGAAGTTTTTTGGGGCAGATCTCCGCGCCTTTAAGAACAGACCCTAGCCCCTCTTCTTCCTCGCTCAGAAGTCAGGATCAACCAAAATCCTCAAACCCTCACGCTGCACGATTCTTCTTTCAGTTTGTTTTTCCTCAATTTTCTGTGTATGCCTTTGAAGTGCTTTTTCTGCGGCGGCGCGTGAGGAAATTTTCGGCGCGTAGTAAGGGCGTTCAGGGAGATTCATGTTTAATCCTAAAACCACATTGGGGAATACTCGACGGGTTCCTGTCGGAGTCCTACTAGAAACTTGGGGTTCCGTACAGGATGGCTTCCGTCGTCTTAGCTAACCGAAACGAATCCAATTGGCCGCAGCTGAGGGGTAACGGTCGCGGTACGGAAGAAGGATTCATGGGGAAAGTACCTTTTTCAAACCCTAACCCTAAATTTAACAAGAAACAGTTTCACGGCGAGGTGAACGGTTTTCAGATGGACGACTCACTGGCTGAGGCTCAGTCGGCGTCGGATGATGCTTCGTCGATCAATCATCATCGCAGATTGTCCAACGGTGTGGATTTTAGTCAATACGTGAGCTTCGACGTTTCATCGTGTTCGAGGAAAGAGCTGGTCGAGCTGAAGACCAGGTTAATCTCCGAGCTAGAACAGATTCGGCAATTGAAAAGTCGCATCAATTCAGGAGAACTAAATTTCAGACCAAAACACCAGAAGAAATCGTCAAAAGCCTCGGGGACCAAGCGGCCTTTGCCGATGTCGAGCAACGGTAAGGAATTCAAGCGGTCTAATTCAGAAAATGGTAATATGATGAAGATGTGTTCGCAGATTTTGATGAAACTTATGAAGCACAAACATGGCTGGATCTTCAACAAGCCAGTCGATGTGATTGGGATGGGTCTTCACGATTACTATGACATCGTCAAGCGTCCAATGGATTTGGGATCCGTGAAAGCCAAGTTGGGCAAAGATGCGTATGAATCACCGTTCGATTTTGCATCCGACGTGAGGTTGACTTTCAAGAACGCAATGACTTACAATCCCAAGGGTCACGATGTACACGCCATGGCCGAGCAATTACTGATGAGATTTGAGGAATTGTTTCGACCAGTAAATGAAGCATTGGAAGAAGAAGATCGGCGGTACCGTGACTATCAGGAAGACTTGCCAGCGATTTCTTGGAATCATTCGGAGGCTGAAAGAACAGTGAAGAAGGATACCCCGATGCCGACTGTGAAGAAGACGGAGCCGATCAAAGCTCCGTCAAGCTCTTCTAATCCGCCAATGATACAATCGCCTGTTAAAACTCCCTCACCTCTACGAGCGCCCCCTGTAAAGCCAGTGAAGCAGCCGAAGCCAAGAGCTAAAGATCCCAATAAGAGAGAAATGACTTTAGAAGAGAAGCACAAGTTGGGAATTGGGTTGCAGAGTTTGCCGCCGGAGAAAATGGAACAAGTTGTACAAATCATAAAGAAGAGAAATGGTCATTTGAAGCAAGATGGGGATGAGATTGAGCTCGACATCGAAGCTGTCGATACCGAAACACTATGGGAGCTTGATCGACTGGTCACTAACTGGAAGAAGATGATGAGCAAGATCAAACGACAGGCTCTTATCAATGCGGCATCTATGAATCACAATGGGGTAAATTACTTAATTCGCATCGGCCTTTCACTGATGAGCTCTCTTAATTCAGCTATTGTTCCTAATGTTTTTTACATGATGAATTACGGCAGGTTTTGGCGATCCCTGAGAAATTCGAAGTGGGTTCTGAAACAAAGAAGCAACGGAAAGGGGAGGCTGGTGAGGAAGATGTGGACATTGGCGATGAGATGCCTACAAGTGATTTTCCACCAGTGGTGATCGAGAAGGACGCTGGAGGAGGGCATGCTAGCAGTAGCTCCAGCGGCTCCAGTAGTTCAAGTAGTGATGATTCATCCTCTTCCAGTGGTATAACCCATCTCTAAAAGTGGTGGATGTTTTGAGATTTGGGATTTGTTTCCACAAAAGTAGAGGTTAACGGGGTACCATCCTTGCAGATTCGGATTCCGACGGCAGTTCATCTGGAAGCGATTCTGACGACAATGCACAATGAAGCGGTGAAGATTTGATGAATGGCAACAAGGAGGGGTCTGAAAGACAGACACCCAAAACGGAGAGCTACAACAAATCCCTCTCGCGCTGCACACCATTGGGCAGAGATTTGTCTGAATGAGGTATTAAATCT